TATTTTTATTTTGACTAAATGTATACTGTACATTGTGTTTATATTGTGTGTTTTGATAAGGCCAATTGGCCGATCAATAAAATCATTTTTATATAACAGATTCAACTTCTGTTAAGCCAGAATACAGAGAAGTGGTATTATTTGACAAGAGGGTAAGGCAAGACTGCATTTTACCACCTCATATGTTTCTTTTGTATGCTGAACATATATGTAAAACAGATTACACTTGGATAAAATAGGCATGAATATTGAAGAAAGAAAATCAACCACTTAAGATATGCAGATGACACCATGCTACTATTAGAAAATAGCAAAGACTAAAAATGATTACTGAGAAGAGTAAAAAAAAACAAAATGCAAAAGCAGGCTTACAGTTAACATTAAGAAAAACAAAAATAATTTCCATAGATCTACAGAACGTTAAAGTAAATAATGAAGACACTGAAATAATTCAAGATTTGTTATGAACATTTTTTTAAAGGCTATGACAGGGAAAGACAGATATGAAGGATCTAGAAATATCCTGAAGTGCATCACTAAGATATATCACTAAATAATAGCATTAGGATTGTCCAAGTCATGTATTTTTTTCATTTTTATGTATGTCTGTGAAAGCTAGACAGTGAAGAAAGCTGATAGAAAGAAATTATCTCATTTGAAATGTCGTGCTGGCTGGCTGGCTATATATATTGCATATCATTTGCTCCATAGCTTTCTGGACAGAGCATAAACTAGCATGTTTGGTTAAGACCTATTGTTGATCATGAGAGAGGAAAATAGGTGTTGTTCAGTCAATAATAATAATAATAACAACAACAATAATAATAATAATAATAATAATAATAATAATAATAATAATTTATTTCTATCCCTTCACCATCTCCCAAAGGGGACTTGAGGCAGCTTACAAAGGATTAATAATGTAACAATACATATGGTGTAATACAGATCAAAGGAAATACAGTATCAAAGGAAAATAATTCACATCATCAATACATAAAACAATACCACAATAAATTCAATCAACTCTAAAATACACATCGATAGACTGACAGGCAATATACATTAAATTGAATTAAATTAATATTCCTCATGAAATTAAACTGAATAGCAGGAATCTACATTATTTCATAGAGCAATTTATTTGCGGTCTCATCTTGCTATCCTTGATTCTCACAGAAACAGTCATGCCAGTTCCTAGCAGATACAAAGGAGGAAGGGAAAGGAAGGGAAAATGTTTCAGATTTTTTTTTATTTTAGCATGTGCTTTATGCATATAAACCCATTTCTTCAGATAAGGTACAACATAATATTAAAATATTAAAATATGGGTTGCAGTCGTGCAGCAGGTTAAACTGTTAAGCTGCAGAATTTGCTGACCGGAAAATCGGCGGTTCAAATCCTGTTGTTAGTCTCAGCTTCTGCCAACCTAGCAATTCAAAAACATGCAAATAGTAGGTAAATTGGTACCACTTTGAAGAGAAGGTAATGGTGCTCCATGCAGTCATGCCAGCCATTTGACCTAGGAAGTGTCTATGGGCAACGCCAGCTCTTTGGCTTAGAAATGGAGATGAGCATTACCCTGTAGAGTTGTACTCGTGTCGGAACCCAGATGCCTTAAAGAACCAGACTCAGGAGTATGTTCAAAAGAATAGTTTATTAATGCAAAGCAAAAGAGACTCAGAGACACTTGCTTCAGTTGTAACATAAAGGTAAACAACAACCTGCAGATCCAGGACCCAAGCCCAACACGAAAGCGGCAGCGACAAGACCCAAGGCACGAAACCAACACTTTGCCTACTGCAAAGTTCTTCCATTTCAGTGCCTACTTTTATCTTACAACTCATCATCCGATGATGAGCTGCCCTCCACCCCATTGTCATCACTTACAGCTGGTTTAGCTTCCACATCTGAACACTAACGCCCATCCCTCCAACTCTTCCACTTCTTGTCAAGACTTAGCTCTCCCCAAGATCCCACAGTATCTCCCGATTGCCAATCCCCACCACCAGAAAACCCTGCAAACGTATCACTAGATGTTGGTTGAGTACACACATCCCGAACCTCTTGCACCTTGGTCCAATCCAGTGATTCATCCTCATCCCCATCACTCCCAGACCCATCATTCCCAGAGAAGCCCATGAAATCCTCCTCTTCTGTGGGAGCAGTAAGTATATCCTGAATCTTCTTCCTCTGTCGCTCCTCATCCGATTCCTGCTCCTGAGTAACTCTCTTAGTTCCCCTATTCCCATCCACTGTATCTCCTTCCTCCTCACTCATTTCACTCTGAGAAAACCCTTCGAAGGAATCTTTATCAGTGGGTGACATAAGTATCTCCCGGATCCTCTTCCTCTGCTGTTCCTCATCTAACTCTTGGGCACTCCTTTTCTCTCTTCTGATACCCTTACTACCAGTTGCAGTGTTGCTAACAGACTCTACTACAACAACTTGACTAGACTTAATGTCAAGGGGAAACCTTTACCTTTAATATTAAAATGTCTTACTATAAAGCATGTATAATACGCTGCTATGATATTGCTCCTAGGACAGCAACAGTCTTGGACAGCAATGGCTCCCAAAGTGACCCATTTAAGGTGGAATCGGGTGTCAAACAGGAATGTGTTATTGCCCCAACTCTATTCTCCATCTTCATTGCTATGATACTTCACCTTGTTGATGGGAAGCTTCCCACCGGAGTGGAAATCATCTATCGGACAGATGGCAAGCTGTTTAACCTCAGCAGACTGAAAGCCAAAACCAAGGTTACAACAACATCTGTTATAGAACTCCAGTATGCTGATGACAATGTCATCTGTGCACATTCAGAAGAAGATCTACAAGCCACTCTAAACACCTTTGCAGAAGTATACACGAAGCTTGGCTTGTCACTGAACATCGAGAAAACCAAAGTGCTAGGTTCTTGTGGGTTTTTTCAGGCTATAGGGCCATGTTCTAGAGGCATTTCTCCTGACGTTTCGCCTGCATCTATGGCAAGCATCCTCAGAGGTAGTGAGGTCTGTTGGAATTAGGACAATGGGTTTATATATCTGTGGAATGGGGGTGGGGCAAAGAGCTCTTCTCTGCTGGAGCTAGGTGTGAATGTTTCAACTGACCACCTTCATTAGCATTTGATGGCCTGGCTGAGCCTGGGAAAATCTTTTGTTGAGAGGTGTTAAGATGTGCCTGGTTGTTTCCTCTCTGCTGTTTTGCTGTTGTAATTTTAGAGTTTTTTAATACTGGTAGCCAGATTTTGTTCATTTTCATGGTCTCTTCCTTTCTGTTGAAATTGTCCACATGCTTGTGGATTTCAATGGCTTCTCTGTGTAGTGTGACATGGTGGTTGTTGGTGTGGTCCAGCATTTCTGCAGTTGCTCTACTCTGAACTTAAGAACGGAAAACGGAACGTTGGTGGACAGGAAAAGAGATTTAAAGGTGGCCTCAAAGCCAACCTTAAAATCTCTGGCATAGACACTGAGAACTGGGAAGCCCTGGCCCTTGAGCGCTCCAGCTGGAGGTCAGCTGTGACCAGCAGTGCTGCAGAATTCGAGGAGGCACGAGTGGAGGGTGAAAGAGAGAAACGTGCCAGGAGGAAGGCGCGTCAAGCCAACCCCGACCGGGACCGCCTTCCACCTGGAAACCAATGCCTTCACTGTGGGAGAAGATGCAGAGCAAGAATAGGGCTCCACAGCCACCTACGAACCCACAAGGAAACGCATAATGGAAGACCATCTTACTCGTCCAACAAGGGATCGCCTAAGTAAGTAAGTAAGGACATATAGTGTGAGGATTGAGTTGACATCTGGGTTTGTGGCAGGGTTATGTTTTATGTTATGTATCCTGTTATTGCTTCTTGAAGATATGCAGTCTGTCTGTAGACCATGGTAGAGAGGGCTATGTTATTATTCACAATTGGTTGTAGCTCATGATGGTGTTTGAGTCGACTCCGTTGAGGACTCTAGAGTTTCAGAGGCCGATAGCATCACCCACAATATCAGAGGTACTCTTTCTCCGGTGTGATATAACCCATCCTATGCCAGCGATACCTCTCTCTGTTGTCGACTTAGAACAAACAAGACACTATCTACGCAAAAGGATAAATGGATACAAATCTGACATTAAAAATGGCTATACCCTCAAAACCAATTGCAGAATAATTCAGCCTTCCTGGACACACAGTAAAAGATTTACAGATTACAATTCTTCAACAAGAAAATTTTAAAGGAAAACTGGAAAGACAAGCAGTTGAATTGAATTATATTCATAAATTCCAGTTGATTAGCTGAGGAATGAACAAAAGAATGTATTCCTGGCACACTATGTATATTAATACAGTAGTTCTCGCTACTACACAGGTAACAAAAATAATCTCCTCAGAGAGAGTTATGAACATAGGGAAATTCACTTTTGGTAAACAGATTTACACACATCCACTACAAAGATCTGAAATGTTTTGCCCAGGCTTTTGAACTTTTAGAGCAAGCATCATGATTAGCTTTTTTCTGGATCCTATTACATCCAATCCCACTCCCGCAGCTGTATAAATGTGCTGCCACATCTTTTTTTTCTGTCTCCCTCCCGTCATTCTTTTTATACTTGTCGATAACCATATAATACTTATCCTCAAAGCACAGGTTTGAGCAAACAGCAGTCTGCTGTGACCAAGTTCTAGTGGTGTTCAACTGAAGAGTCCCGCTTTAGATCTCCAGTCAGGAGTGAAGTTTTCCATCTGGCCTTGAATACATTTTATGTTTAAACATAAAAATCACAGGTTTGTTGTGATAGCAATGAAAACATACAATAGATGAGGAATGTATGGTCTTCAAAATGCTTTTGGACTGTAACTTTCATCATCCTTCACCACCAGCTATTCTGGCAGATAAGAGTTTTCTACTCCCATCATATACTAAGAAGGGCTAAGGAAAAGATGAACAGACATTTTAAATTGTATCACTGAACTATTTATGACTGTTCCTTTTTCTTCTTTTCTCCTCCTCCCACAGGTGTGATAGCTGTTGTTATATTTATTCTGCTGTGCATTGCTGCCATAGCTGTAAGGATTCATAAAAAGAAAAGTGCATATAAGAAAAAGGAAGTGAAAGGATCGGAAAAGGAGGATAGTGCTGAGACTGCCCTGAAGAATGAGCTAAACGTGCAAAACACAGTCAATGAAAATCAAAAGGAGTATTTCTTCTGATTCACCTGTACAATTTAGCTTAATAATAATGATGTGACAGTCTGACTTTCTAGCTAAGCTGGGGCTCTCAATGGACACAATTAAAAAAAAGATCACAAAGAAAAATGGGGATAAAAGAGAAGCTTTTGCAATTGAAGAACATGCAGAATGGAAATGAAACTGGAAATGAAAATGAAACGAGACTGCATATGTTCAGTCTCGTTGATTACTATGGGAGGCCTCTTTAAATGACATGCATTCTTTAGCTATTATAACATAAATGCATTTTCTGTAACAGTGAATTAGATATTGTAACCAATTTCATTGTTGGTAGTTTTCGGCTGTTCTGCTGTAACTTTCTAGAATGGAAGTTTTAACGTGCATACTGAACATGGGTTTTCAATGAGGAAATACTATCCAGTTTTCTCATCCTTTCCCCCACAGTCCTTTTTAATTCTACTCTATAGAGATCTATTTTTTCAGGAATATCATTAAAATGGGCTCTAATATTTTCCCCTAAATCCTTGGGCTACAACACAAAGCAAAACTAAGTGTACTTAAGACTTTTCAATTAATACACTTAGCTGTACTTTGCTCTGTATTAAATGCTACCCATGACAGAACACTTTTATAGTAATTACTTCAAATGACTGCAATTGCAAGTACTGTTTCCACTAATTGATGGTCAACTCCAATTTTTGTTGTTATAAAAACAGCATATTCCATTAAGTGTTAACCCCGTCATTATTCTGTCCAATAAATCAATCTATAGTATTGTGTGATGGCTACTGATACGAATACAGAATGCAGAGTTACTTTATTAACCTTGCTCTCAAGACAAATGAAATGTGAATGACAACTTGTTTTTAACTAGTGTTGAATAGTTGTTCATTGACTGGACTGAACTAAGCTCTAACAACTAATGATGTAAAGTGTTAACTTTGTGTAATGCCCATATATTGATCCACCACATTGATACTGGCCAACTGTATCAATGGCAGCCGATTGCAAACTTTAATGTATATTTTTCTTTAAAAAAGTGTAACAACAAAAGACAAACAACGTCATACACTATTGTTATTTCACTATCTGTATGCAATGTAGAGAAAATGGCTGATTTTTTTTTACTGATTGAAGTTTAAACTGCATATGATTTCCTATGGAGAAATTCTACATTCTTGAACTTGAATACTAGAAGCATGTTACCAGGCCAATCACATGGGTCTTTGTCACTACCATGGTCCAGCAATCAGTGACAATAATCGATAGGCCAAGGCCAAAAACAGCAATTGGAGGCAGATGGCATGACCTAGCATGGTTGGTTAGGTCCTCTTTACTCAAAATTTAGAGCAGGAAATTCAAGATCAAAGATACTGCGACTGGCATCCTGTTAATGACATATGAAGATATAGCTTAAATGTTATACCTATATATAATATTATTTTTGCTCATTGTGAAGACTGGTATTCCTTTTCTTCCTCTGGAGAAACAACCCCCCCCCCCCCACACACACACACACACCCCTACAGTTGAGTTGGTAAACATTCCTCTGAACACAACCATGTAATCCCCAGAGGATGCATGTGTGTGACTGCAGAAGTTTCTGGCGATGTTCCTGGAGTAGATAGGAAGCAATTTCATCTATCATCAGAGACCTTAATATCATCAGAGACCTTCAGTAGCTAGTATAATCAGTTCATATTTGGCTATGGTAATATAATTAGATGTTTCTATGAACCTCCTTATACTTTCATTCAGACATTGAACAGCACTGTAGCTTCAGCAGTTCTATATAGATCTAGATGGTGTTGAATGTCTCAGCATAGTTTAATTACACATGTGGGACTATTATCGTCACTTTTTTCCATGTCAGGAGCAACTTGAGAAACTGCAAGTTGCTTCTGGTGTGAGAGAATTGGCCATCTGCAAGGACGTTGCCTAAGGGATGTCCGGATGTTTGATGTTTTATCATCCTTGTGGGAGGCTTCTCTCATGTTCCCGCATGAAGAGCTGGAGCTGACAGAGGGAGCTCATCCGCACTCTCCCTGGATTCAAACCTCTGACTTGTTGGTCTTCAGTCCTGCCAGCACAAGGGTTTAACCCATTGCACCACCGGGAGCCCCTATTATCATCACTGAGCCACACAGGTTTACAGCCTTATGTTTCAATTCAAAGAGCAAGTTGCTCGGATTGAGTGATCATGGCTGAAACATTAGACATATTGGTTCTTCAGATCATGTTGTGTGGCTGGATTGCTGAAAAGCATTCTCTTTTCTTGCAATTATATGTGTGATGCTTTATCACAGTAAATATCTAATCAGTAATTTCAGTCTGAGAACCATCCCAATGGCAAAACATGGCTTAGGTTCTGGTTCAAGACATTATGGTCCAAGGACTTCTATCTATCCTTTTATTGTCCTCTTTTTCATATACTTTCTTGTTGCCTGTTGGATTATGGCAATTCCATAAATTTATAGGGGTTTCTTATCCAAGGAATCTCAAAAGTGGTTTTATCTGTTCCTTTTAGACAAGGTCAATTAAGTAAACAGGCCCCTGCAGCCAAATTCAGATAGATAGATAATCTGTAGTAGAAAGACATACACGGTTCCAATATTCAGTTGCATATCTCATTTTATGATATCTTCTTGTTATTATTATTATTATTATTATTATTATGTTTATTTATAACCTGTTTTTTTCTCCATACAGAGACTCAACACATCTCACAACTAAAGCATTGCAAAACAACTTAAAATATACAAGTATTAAAACAGTAATATTGTTTTAATACTTGTATACTGTTAAAACAGTAATGGTGTTCCAATCATTAAAAGCATATGCACTCACAGCAGCCCCTGATGATCTTATAAACCTCCTTCTTTTAAAGCCTGTCTGAATAAAAAGGTTTTAATCTGTCATCTGGAGGTAACAGGTGGAGGACCATTCTGGCTTCCCTGGGCATGAAGTTTCAGAGTCGAGGGGAATCTATCGAGAAGGAAGGCCCGCTGTCTTGTTCCCCCCAATAGACATTGAGATGGAGGTGGCACTGAGAGAAGGGGCCTGGGGATGTTTGTAAAAGGGAATGCAGTCAGCCAAATAGCCTGGACCTGAACTGTCTAGGGCTTTAAAGGTCATAACCAGCACTTTGAATTATGAAGAAACAATTCTGATACAATTAGTGTGAAGAATAGTATCTCATTAAAGAGAAAAGGAAATGGATTCACTGAAGATAAGGAGTTACTAAGCTGGAGGAACTTTTTCCCTCTCTTAGACTATGCTGCTGGCTCCCTTTTTTCCATCCTAGCCTCCTACCAAATTCTTGCACTAACAAACTTGACTAGAATGGCACTAGAATTGTCTTTTTCTTTTTTTTTCTTTTTCTGCAGGTTCACAGACTCATTAAATAACTGATACAAGAAGCAGGATTTAAAATATCTAAAGTTTAGCTTTTAAAAAGTATTTGGAATACATCAACTAACCTAGCTGCTCAGTCACCAGTTTGGTTCTTGGGTGCTAAATGTTGGACAAAATTTTGAGGCAAGTGAATTTGTTTAGGTGTAAATATTTATCTCAGAAATTTACTTGCGTGCCATTTTCCAAATGTTGAAATGAATTTATATAAAATGTAATACTTTCACCCAAAAATTTGTCCAATAATTGGAATCACTTTCATCACCTCTTTCTCAGTGTAAACTTCCCCAGGCAATAAGTGTCCTTTACCTATCCACTTCCACTTTGCATCCAATAGGCTTAGCCAACATATTTGAATTTCCCCTCAGTCCTACTTATGCTCCAAGCTTGCACTACTCTTTGGTTCCTGTGTTATCCATCTGGTTTTTTAGACAGTATTCACACAGCACTTTCACAAGCCTTGCCAGTATAGCTGTTGTTTGCTTTTTAGCTTATTGTTTCAGCTTTTGCTACCCTTCATGCACTTTTTTTCTTTACTTCCCTACATTGGGGTCACTTCCCATTTAGAACCTTGAATCTCAGCCTTTCTAAATGACTCTTGCTGTCCTTTGCCTTTTCAATACTCCTTTTTATAGCCTATATAATACTTTCTTTCCCAGCAAAGTTGGCATTTCATTTCCCTCACTTATGCTTCTGTGATTTCCAACTATTGTTGAACTAGCATTTGAAAGAAACCATGACACTACCATAGTTCATGGGCAAATGACAGACACTTTTCAACCAGTATACAGCACAAGCAATCTTCTTCATGACATTAAATATGTCCTTTTAAAAAATCTTTCTTTCAGTAATGCCTGACATCCTGTTAGTGACCTGCAATGTCGCCTCCAAACTATTTTTTAACTGTGGGATCTCCTCCTCACCACCACATGGCCATTTAGAGATCAGTGGCCACCAGATAAGTGTTTGCCCTATTGCCAGATGCAAAACTATAAGACCATCTACTGAGACATCTAAGTTGTGTAAGTGAATGTCCTGGAGCTAAAAAGATGGGTTGAAGTGAGAAGGGAGACCTAGCATAGTTCCTCATGCAGAACATATGTGCTATGTTTCTGCAATGCAGGGTCATGGCTAGTATTTTTGGTCCTTATGTTAGTATAAGTTTTCTGTTAGGTTTTTCCCTTGGGAAAAGTACATTATGCCTTTGAAGAAATACTTTTCAAATAAGAATTTTGAAAATAATGTGGAGGTTCAAACAACAATAAACAGTTTTCTTAAGAAAAACAAAGATGTGGCATCAGGTTTTAAGGACAACAAAATCTGTTTCCTCAGATGTATGATAAAAGCATACGCCACAATAAATTTGTTAGTTTTGAAGTTGCCCTGACTCTCTTTGTTGGATTAGATGCACTAGATGAACGCAATTGTTGTGTAGGTTTTGAGGCTGAATTTTTGCTTAAATTCTCAAGAATGATACTATAATGCTGGTATATTAAAACATGCAAGATATTTGAATTTATAAAACATGTACATTTTGCTGTTTTGAGTTGCTTTATTAGTAATTGATTTTGTTGTCATCTACCTACTGTGTTCCATGGTTTATTTTATCTTGTAAAGTTCTGTTTTCGATGTTTTTCCTATCTTATGCTGACAATAAGAAAAATACTGGAAATTACAGTGTCAGCCTGGGGCCCATTTCGTTCAGTGAATGGAGCTTGATTTTCTCAACATCAATTTTATTTTATTGCTATTGTAGTTAATTTGTGTTAAATCAATTTCTCTTCACACACCCCTCCCCGGCCAGCAAAATGAATACATGTTACTAGAAATAACCAATCAAATTTCTAATTAAAGATCAAGCACTTAAAACCAGTCACTTCACTTTAACCAGCTTTCAAAGGCACCTGTTACATTCTCTTTCTTTTTCTTTTTTTTTTTAAAAAATAAGGAATCTGTAACATGAATCAAGGAAAACTTAGAAATCTAAAGCTAGCATAGATTTCTTTTTCTTCTGTTTACTTATGAATATGAAGTATATGCCATTTAAAAATAATAATGCCTTGTGGAACTGTTGTCTAAATTCAAGTGTTTTGCATAAAAGTAAAATAAAACTAGGAGGGTCCTTTCATTCTATATAAGAAAGAACACAACATGAGTGGGGTCAAGGCACCCCTCCAAAGATTTCTGTATTTCAACTCCCATCTTCCTTTACCATTGGTTACTATTCGTGGGAACTAGAATTAACATCTGGAAGATCACACATTATCAGGCCTGGAATATAAAAATAAGAGTATTACTTATTGTAGGTAATGAGAACAAACACATGTATTGTTTTGTTAGAAGGACTTAGAAATAGTTTGGTTGAATACTCATTTGTTTATAGCTGTGTAGTGTAAAATAAATAAATTTATTTCAGGCAGGTAATAACCATAAATATTTTCAAAACCAAATTTCATATATACACAGGTGCACCTATGTAGGAATATGTTATAAAGCAGTGCCAAAATATGAACACATTTAGATGGGCCTAAGCAAATCTAGAAGTTCCTGTTTTGTTTTTTGTTTTTTTGAAATATGTCCATGCGAAGAGCATATCTAAAGTAGCTTTAGACTGACTTGGGAAAACTCACAAAATACCGATGAACTTGTAAATACTGTATCTTGTCAAATTCTTCAATGTTTCACAAATGCCATTTTCTTCTAAGTGCTGTGTTTTGGTCGACTGGTTCATTTGGTCACTTTCATATATGTCCAAGTTTGTTGGAAGGTCTCAAGGATCCCAAGTTACCTATAAACCATTTGCTCTTTCCTTAATGGCTGGGGTGACGAAGCTGTGGATGCTCTTGGATTGTAGATCCCAAACTCCTTCCCCATTACCTGGTAAAGCTGAAGAGAGTTGAAATTCAGCACTATTTGGAGGACCATAGCTCTATCTGCCTCTGCTCATATGTATGGACTAGTTCACAGTAATGTAGTAAACAGGTCTTTGGGCTGCAGCACTTTACACAGAAGTGAAGGTTTACCTGGTTGAAATGTTTCATGCCCCCAACAAATGACATGTTCGGGCATTTTCTGTTAGCTCTATGTTCACATGTTTGCACTGCTAAATTTCCCAGAATGCTTGAGAATATTATGACATTGAAATCTGAGGCATAACAAGAAATTAAATTCACTAAGCCCAGCACCTTATGAGTGCTGCTCAGATTAGCTAAAAGAGACCCAGTGATGTAAGAAAGGCTCACTAGAGAACAAGATTTGGGGGGTACTACCCCACCCCCCAAATCTGGGGCCTTTGTTGTCTTCGTTAATATACATTAACCTAGTTTTATTCTTTAGACACTACTTTCCTATGTGAACTTTTTCAAACACAAAAGCACTCTAATATATGATTACCCTACCACCACAGCTATGGTGGATCCCAAAGGCCACAGTAGTACACTCTGCAGTAGTACAGCTCTAAAGCCACAGTGAGAACTAGACCAATTCAATGGTGGCATCAGATTTTGTTGACTCATTATAAACTATTGTTCTTCAGATCCTTTTGCTCCAGTTTGTATGGTACTGCCTCTCTGTTAATAAAGAATCAGTTTCTAAAATAAAGTGAGGAAAATATTTTTGGGAAATATTTGTATTTAAGCACTAAAGACAATATACGGTAATGATTTTCCTACCTCCCCTAAACACACACACACACACAGAGTTAAAAATGGAGAAGTGCACAAGAAGTATTGATGAATAAGATCCTTCAATTGAACTTAACTGTCATCTTCAAAGCAATGAATGTGGGGATTTGTCTTTTCTTACATATTATTACACCATGACTATAGGAAATTTTTGAGTACATTCTATTCAAATTCCAAATCATGTAAGGCTCAAAATACATCAGGGGAATATGCATAAAATTTGTGGGATGAGCTAATAATAATATTACCTATATAATTGTTTCAAGATGGTTGCCAGGAGATGGTTAAAATTATTATATCCCTGCACCTCTTCCTAACAAATCCCAGGAGCCCATCCATTTTTAAACTGAAATCATAGTGCTATAATTGCATAATATGAAAAGACCGTTAGTCTGTTTTAATTTTGTTTTTATTTTGACATGTATTTTGCCAGAGGATAATTTAATTCATTGGAGTTAATAATTCTTATTGTCATAACAATAGGAAAAAATATTATCCCTCCCTCCTCAATGTAATCAACACCACATATAACAGGAGTAGTAGATTAAATACTGTGGTCATGGAATTGTTAGAGAAGCTGTTAATTTTGCAAAGATCAGCTTGTCAATGGGAATACTAAGAAGAATGAACAATGATGGTACTAATGGTAGAATAGACCCATGTGCCTAACAGGAAATACTGTATGTGTACAGGTATGAATTTATGCATATTATACACAGATGAAGCTCGATTTAATTCAAAGAAGGATGAGACTGAAAATGGATGCTTACATGTCCATTGAAACGAATGGGTCTTCCTGCAACAAAGAAGACAATATTTTCATATGCATTAGCAGAACCATACTTTACAAGAAAAAGAAAGCAATAGTCCTATTATATTCTGCACTAGTCAGGCCTCATCTGGAGTAATGCATTCATTCCTGGGCACCTTATTTCAGGAAAGATATAGACAAATTGGAACAAGTTCAGAGAACAGCAACAAGGATAATAATAGTTATGGAGAACAAAATATTTAAGGAAAGGGAGTGTGTTGGGCATGTTCAGCTTGGAGAAGAAAAGGCTGAGAGGTGACATGCCCACGCTTTGTAAATATCTACAGAGCTGATTACTTTTGGAGTAAGATATTGAAGAAAGTGATATACTATCTTCTTGAAATGTAGCCTCCCAAAATAGCCCCCAAGCACCAAGAACTCAGTCAAAGCATTTTAAGTGTTGGGAGTGTGGAGGAAATGAATTGCCTTTGCCATCCAACCCCCCGAAATGAGGAGACCACACAATGTTATGGGATCAAATTTGGGCAACTTTATTTAACTGTTACCAAGTTTTTTAAGATTTGTAAACTATTAACTATAACACAACTCGTAATGTGTCTTGGAATTTGGTGAGAGCTAAGTACCAGTTAGAGGTCCTCCCCGACCCATCCCTGGCAAACAAACTTGGGCGAAACACCGGGCCTCCATTGCATTAAACCTGGATGACCTAAAGGGAAACATAGCGGAGAATATTTCCTCAAGGAATTGTGGTAAAACATCTCCTGTTCCTAGGCCATCGACGTCATCCCCCGCCTGGGTTGTTTGAACCCTAGATGGAGGAATTCGCTTCTGGTCTACACCAAAATCAGGTGCCTGGGTGTACACCGGATATGTCATGTTCCTTCCATTTTCCGCCACGGATCAGGGGCAAAAGTCCTTTTAGCCCCTGTCCCCCAACAAATCCCCCAAAATCGCTCTGATAGCCTGCTGAATATCGTGCAGAAATAAGTTGTTGCCCACCTCTGATAAATGTATGCCATCAACTCTGAACAGGTCGGGAATGTTGTGTTTTATCTCATCGTGAGATATATAGTGACCCAGGCCTTTTGACATCTCTTTTTTCATGGCCCTGTTCACTCTTTTCCGTGCCCCATCCAACTTTTTAGCATCACCACCGGGCCAGTTGGGTCGAGGCGTAATAGCTGACCACGCTATTTGCACATGAGGCCATGCCTCCTTGATCTTTTGAATGTCTCTCAATGCTTGCAGGAACAAAGCCCTGCCCTTAAGTAAACCCAGGTCGTTTCCGCCTAGGTGGATAATCAAAACATCAGGGGGAAAACACGTTCCTGATTTAAACAACAAGGGTAGTAAACCATCCCATTTCAATCCTCTCCGGCCCTTCCAGTCAACCAACGCCAGGGTTGCAAGGCCGAGGTGTTGACCATAGGGACCTCTACACGCCTGCTGTTCTGCCCAGTGCACGTAGCTGTGGCCGCAAATGAGGACCCGTCTTCTATGTGTCAAACGCCCGGTATCTGAAAAGATAAACAACTATCACTACAATTGAACTTTACGAATGTAAGACTGGTAAGCCCCCGATCTCCAGCGTCCCAGGGTCTTGATCTTGTCAACTGGGTAACCCATGGCAGATGCGGTGGAGGCTGCCCCAATGCGGAAGGAATGGGTCGCAAACCTTTGGCCTTTTATGCCCAATACTTGCAGCGCTTTGCTCGTTAATGCCCAAAATTGATATTTTGTTAACGGGGATCCCCCCTGGTGGCAAAACAGAGGCCCGTCAACTGACCCTCTATCCGTTATGTAAAGCGTCACTGCATCCACCGGGCATATATCCGGGTCGCCGGATTTAAGCAACTTTACAATTGTGCCTTTTGCCTTTTGATCTGTCTTTGAGGCACGTATGCATAGCTGCAAGTGATCTTGGTACAATTGTAAATCTGAAAATGCAAGGGCTCTACGTGAGCAATCTGTCTTTGATCCCGCGACCAACTCACTTATTCTAAGAGCGCCAAAGAACGCTATAAGGGCTGCTGCATGAAACAATTTCTCTTCGTATTGGGATTCACAGATCTGAGGCCAGGTTTGCTTTAACCCTTTCAGAATTTCAGGTGTCAATGGCGCCCGATCATCGCGGGGCCTACCTCTTTCCCTTGACAGCCCTTCCAGCCACTTTCGAATTCTAAAATCCGACGTGAAGTCAGGAAAACCCTGGGCTTTGAG